ATTTCCTTGTCTTGATAGATATTTCAAGTGGCTTTAGGATTTTGTAAACACTTTTCTTCAACTTCTTTCTATTTTTTCCTTTCCCAGCGGAAGTGGTTCACAGTACGCAAGGCGGCTGTGACCATCTACGATAAATCGGGGAAGGAGTAAAGGGAAAACTACATCCTTCTGCTCCTCCATTAGCTGTGTCAACACTCTGTGCTTACATTAGCTTTTAAAATACATCCTCAGGAAGGAGAGAGAGGGGCTAATCACCAGCCCTGAGCATTCCAGGGACTTTAACAATGGATGCTAATGGCCAACCATACTGGTTGTGATAGTTGACTGTTGAAAAATGGCATTTAATGAGGTTGGATACATTCAAGACATAACAAAAGAAAGAATATATGTGTCGCGGAAGTCAAACTAAAAATCGTTTTCACCCTTTGACATTATAGTATATTAGATACAGTGTCGCCTTAGGAATCAGGAGAACCGGAACCGAGTTTTAGTTGTTATGTTCTATTTTTTAGCTTTCTGACCTTGGATATGACAAATGATCTCTCTGGGCCTTAGTTTACTCATCTAAGAATAGTCCTAATATATACTGCACAGAGTACTTGAGAAGATGGAAAGACAATGTAAAAACAAGCTCTAGCCAAGTCAAGCACAGATCGGGCTGGGGGTGGGTGATGGAGGGTGGTTGTGTGGGGGTGGGGAGGGGACTGGAGTGGATGGATTATATTCTGAGTTGCTTCTGGGCCTTAAACTCTATCGTTCTATGAATCTGTGATCTGTGGGGGTCACACAGGAGAGTCGCTTAGGTGCTATTAATGACACTTAAATTACTTGATAATTTAAACTCCTAAAGCAATGCACAGCTAGAGTGCTGATTTAGTATCATTAACAAGGATTAAAAGGGTTTACATGGCACAGAGCCTAGGACAGGGTCAGGACCAGTCCTCCATAAATATCAGTCCCTTTTCCACCATCGTTTCAGAAAGTGCACTTCAAATAAAAGACGACAATGATTGTTAAAGCAGACCTTCAGGAGCAAATCTACAGTTCCTGTTGTTAATTTTACAATCTTATCCAACATCAACACATTGATTTGGCCTGCCTATGTTTGCCCATTTCCAGGGCATTCCACAGGGTTCTTTCAGAAAGTGATTTAAAAGCCCCACCCTAAATTTGAGAGAGATTTATGTTTCTGATGGTGTACGCTATATCTTCAAAAGTCACAAGACTGATTCCAGAAGCTCTGTGTTTATACTCTGTAGCTGTACGTTAGTGTTTCAAGAAATGGTAAAAATGGTGTCACAGGGGGGATGTTAAGCTCTCCTTTCTTTTCACATAGAGGTGCAGGAATGATGGAGGGATTCTTCCTTTTATAAAAGTGTTCTTTTCAAATAACAAATATTTGTAACCAATATTTCGGAGCTTCCCACAAGACTAATGAAAGAATTAAAATAAATGTATTTTCAAAAATCTAACCAGTAACCTAAAATTAAATAACATCTTTAGCTATTAGCAAAAGGTAGTAGTAGATAGATACTAAACCTGCTATTGTATTGATTACCCAAGAAATTCAGGAGACATTAAGTGTTTTCACCTCTGGTTTCTAAGTAAATGCTTCAATTCTTCATTTAAATCTTTTAAGATATACCTGCACTCTTGGAATAAAGTACTTAATATGTGGTAACTCACATCTTCCACGTCATCAATTCAGTCATAGCAAAGTTTCCTGCGCTGTTCTATGCTGTGCTAGAAGACAGGGAAAAATGCATTCACCCCAATTCTTCAGCAGTTTATTTCTCCAAAGAAATTAAAATTTGTGTTTACATTGGCAGCTCTGACACAACCATAATCCAGACTCTAGCCTGGTTATTATGGAAAGTCTGACTTACAAACACTATTAATATCAGTACATTAATCATAAAGTCCAGTTCAACCTCCCTGGGTCATAATCTCATAATTAAGAACTAAATGATTTATCTGAATATCTAAACTTATCCAATTGTTGCCTGAGAACAGATTTTTTTAGTACTCACTGATTAAACCACAAATAAAATGGCCTATTATGAATATCTTTTTACTTGATGGCTTTTCTTAGCATTTAGTCAAAAAGATCAGCTGTAGTTCATTAAACACCTCAAGCTACCAAGAACCAATCAATGTTTGTTGAGGCTCTGTCTATACAAGGCGTATTCTAGGCACTGTGAAGACACTTAATAGAAGAAACTGACTAGCCCTAAAGAAACAAGGTTTTGCTCAGTAAAAGTAAATCCTGAAAAATTAAATCAAAATGATGCATGACTGGTTTCTCAGCGTATGATCTAGATATTATATTTTACTCCAGTGACAATTAGACTTTAAACTCCAAATTTATGAAATGCTACTTACTCTGCATATAAAATATTTTGAGAAAATAAGTAAACATAATTACAGTACAGAATTTCAAATTATATAACATAGGCAAGTTGGGAGTTTGTTTATGTTTGTATTGTGCTATATTCTTCAGCTTTGGGCTTTTTCATGGCCTTCTGTTATTAACATGTGCTGAATGAAGGAATCATTTAGTTGTCATTTGTCAGTTGTCACTCAAGGCTGAGCATTTGAAATGGAAATAATATCCTCATTGGGGATATAAATATTTAATCAGATGCTTTTCATAATGGAAAGAGAAATAAAAAACATCCATATTGGAAAGGAATAAGTAAAACTCTCTCTGTTTGCAGATGGCATGATCATGTATATAGAAAATCTTAAAAAATGCACACCGAAGAAAACTATTAGAGCTAATAAATGAATTTATCAAGATTACAGTATACAATATCAATATAGAAAAATCAGTTTTATATCTATCAATGACCAATAGATCTAAAATGAGACTAAGAAGACAATTCCATCTATAATAACATCAAAAAGAATAAAAGGAATATAAAGCTTGTACACCGAAAACTGTAAAACATCAGTGATACAAAAGAGAACTAAATAAGTAGACATCCTGTGTTTGTGGATTGGAAGGCTTAATATTATTAAGTTTTATTATTATTAAGATGCAATTGTCTCTAGTTTGATCTACAGATTCAACACGATCCCTATCAAAATCTCAACTGCCTTTTTTGCAGAAATTGACAAGCTGATCCTAAAATTCACATGAAAATACAAGAGACCCAGAAGAGCCAAAGCAATCTTGAAAAAGAAAGAACCAAGTTGAAGGGACTCATTCTTCCCAATTTCAAAACTTATGACAAAGCAATAGTAATCAAGACTGATGCTGGCATGATAAGGATGAACCTATAGATTGGTGGAATAGAATTGAAAGTACAGAAATAAACTCATACATTTATGGTTAGTGGATTTTTACTAAGGGTGCCAAACAGTTAAATAGAGAAAGAATCATCTTTTTAATAAGTAGTGCTGGGTCAAATAGATATTCATATGCAAAAGAATTAAGTTAAATTACTAGCTCACACCATACACAAAATTAACTCAAACTGAATCAAAGACCTAAATGTTACCCTAAAACTATAAAACTCTTAGAAAACATAGGTATATGTCTTTTCGACCTTGGATTAGGCAGTCGTTTCTTAGATTTGGCACCGAAAGCACAAACAACCAAAGAAAAATTAGATAAATTGGACTCCATCAAAATTTAAAAACTTTTCTGCTTTAAAGGACACCATGCAGAAAATGGAAAGACAGTCCATAAAATGACTATATATTTAAAGATCACATATTTGCAAATCAAGAATAAATATAGAACTCTTAAAACTCAACAAAAATAACTCAATTTTAAAATGGACAAAGGATTTAAATAGACTTTTCTTTAAAGTAAATATACAAATGGCCAATAAGCACATGAAATATGCTTAACATCATTAGTCATCGGGGAAATGCAAAGCAAAACCACGATGAGATACCACTTCACACCCATCACGATGACCATAATTAAAAAAAAAAAATAGGCAATAACAAGTATTGTCAAGGACGTAGAGAAATTGGAACTCTCACACATGACTGGTGGGAATATAAAATGGTGCAGCTGTATTAAAAACAGTTTGGCCGTTCTTCAAAAAATTAAACAGTTACCATGTAATCCAGCAATTTCACTCCTAGGATATATTCGAGGTGAATCAAAAACATATGTCCACACGAAAACTTATACACAATTGTTTGTAGAATCATTATTCCAAAAAGTGGAAGCAATTCAAATGTCCATCAACTGTGAATATATAAACAAAATACAGAATGTCTATAGAATGTAATATTATTCAGCCATGTGAAGGGATGAAATACTGATTCCTACGACGACATCGATGAACCTTGAAGACATCATGCTAAATGAAAGAAGACAGATGCAAAAGGCCACTTATTTTATGATTCCATTTATATGAGACGTCCAGAAGGATAGAGGCAAAACCATAAAGACAGAAAGTAGATAAATGGTTTAAAGGAACCAAAGTAGTGAGGGAAATGAAAAGTGATTGTTAATGGGTACAGAGTTTCTTTCGGGGTGATGAAAATGTTCTGTAATTAGTGGCGATGGTTCACGATTTTGTTAACAGAAAAAAATCAGTTGTACACTTGAAAAGGGCAAATTTTATTGCATCTAAGTTATGTCTCAACTTTTAAAATTACTACATTTTCCCTTCAGCATTCTACAAGTTAAGTTCTAATAAAGCATAATGTAACTTATGAGAGATTATTATCATAAAAGCACATATTTATATGTTTTCTTCCTAAGGGAAAAAAAAAGTTTCATGATCAGTTTTATAGACGATATGGGATTTTGCCAGTTTTAAGTATGAGTGCAGATAGCAAGGTGACAAGTCCAGCATCTCTCTCAAGTTACACTAGGAAGGTAAATACCAGCTCATCGCTTCCTTTCCTCTCATCGGTTCCATGTGGATCCTTCTCATTTAGATTGATCAAACATTTATTGTTCAGAAGCTGAGGGAAGAATCCTAAGTCTTTTACCCGAAAAGTCTCATATTTGCTCTCTCGTTCTTTCCCAGGTGCTACCTTTCCCGAGCCAGGTGGTATACAACAGAGTAGGCAAGTGTGGGAGTCGTACTGTGGTCTTGCTTCTGAGAATCTTGTCGGAGAGACACGGATTTAATTTGGTCACGTCAGACATTCACAACAAAACCAGGCTTACTAAAAATGAACAAGTAAGTTGTCTTTGACCATGGTTAAGTTGTACTTTGCTTCAATTCACTTGTGTAATTAGTAGGTATCTTATAGGACAGCCTTCAAACCCCTAACAAATGAATACCAGAGTTGCAATTTCATGCTGTATTTTTGCCAGAGTGTGGAAGGAAATTTAAGTTACTTGTTCAGATGGAAACCTTTGAACCAGGAAATTTCTGCGAAGGCATTATTACAACCAGTGAAGGAGAGTGTACACTATGTCAATTTATCTAAAATTAGCAATGTGAATCTCAAATAGCTAACACCACTGAGCTATAAATAATGACAGCCTGACAGCAAAAAGTGAGAAAACTGTATTTTAATATTTCTTCCTCTGCATTTCCTCACGAGTGTCCTAAGTCTTTACGTTATAATAAAGAGAAACCCCTCTTGGGCCAGTGATCTGAGTGGTTGATGGAAGCAAGAGCTTCCTGTCGTGGAGAGTTCAGGGGATCTCAAGCTTCAAAAGCGGCATTTGGCATATTCAGTGGTAGCAAAAGAATGACCCCATTTCTCAGGCACAATTCCACTGTAACGTAGCTGAGCCATGCAAGCGGGTGTGCTGGTGGTAGAGGACGGATGTGACACTCTGCCAGGGAGCTATGCAGACAGAATCTACTTTGTAAGGTTATACAAAAGTAAGGTCAACAGTCTGCACTGAGGTGCTTTGCTGATGTAGAAAAGTCGGCCCTAGTCTTCTCAAAAGGTCATTCTATAGGCTCAGGTTGGTTAGCCTGGTCTCACAAAGTTGCTTCTGTCCCCTAAGATACATAATGTGGATGAACAGCCACAGGTATAAGTCAAGGTTTTCCAGAGCATAGAACCAGTAGGATGGAGATATCTACCAGTGGATCGATCAACTGATAGATATAAAAGATTCATTATGAGAAATTGGCTCGCACAGTCATGGAGGCTGAGAATTCATGATCTACCATCTGCAAGCTGGAGACCCAGGAAAGCCATAGTGTAATTAAGTCCAAACACCTGAGAACCAAGGGAGCAAATGATGTAAAACTCAATCCAGGTAATGCAAGATGAGATATCCCAGCTTAAACAGTGAGACAGGGAAAAAGGGGACAAATTCCTCCTTCCTCCCCAGTTTGTTCTATTTGGGCCTTCAAGAGATTGAGTGATGCTCACCCACGTCAAGGAGGGCAATCTGCCTTACTGAGTCTACCAGTTCAAATGCTCATCTCGTCCAGAAACACCCTCACAGTCACACCTAGAAATATTGTTTAATCTGGGCACCCCTTGGGGGGCCAGTCAAGTCAACACATAAAATTAACCGTTACACCACCCAATGAGTATATAAGCATGGGGAATAAACAAGGCACATGGTTTGCTACCAGGTTGAGCCCATAATTATGGAAATCTTCACCCACGTCTATCTATGTCCACTTCTTTCTGACATAATCCTACTTTTGAGGCATTCAAACCCTCACAAACAAAGGGAATTTACAATAGCCTTTTTTTTCTCTTTTACCATGGAGGACAGTGAGACTGTTTTAAGAGAGTAAGTCACCAACAGTACTTGGCTATAAGCCAGTATTTTATTGTCTTCCACAATATAGAGATCAAAATTGTCCATTCCTTTGAAAGCTTCCACTAAAAGTCTCTGAGTATCAAGTCTAAATAGTCATTAGCAATCAACAAAAGATATTCTGAGATTAATCTTGTCGGTTCTTTGGTAGGCTCCCAATAGCAAAGGTTATGTTTAGTGACATTTAAAGATACCATTTTTTATGAGTAACTTTAATAGGGGTAGGTTCTCTGATTTCCTTACCTTATTAAAGAGCTAATATGATTAGGTCAAAAGAAAGTGACTGTAAATAAATAGCCAATGTTATTGCAGTTTTATTATAATTATTAAATTTAGTTTTCTTTTGAGACTTTGGATCTGCTTATCAGATTATACTTAAATATTCTTTTATGTGGAAACTGCTCAGAAGACTCATAAAACACAGTAGCTTGACTTTAGTGTTAAAACGGTACAAACAACCCAGAGGGCACAAAGTAACTAAAATATTAGACACGGAGATGCTCAGG